ACTGACACAGTAGGCAATGGGATGTGTCACTCCGAGCACAGGCAATGGGCTTTTTCTTTTTTGATGTGACTGCGAGAAGCCTCCCAGCCGCCTCCTCTTTGCCAGCTGCTTCCCGGCAGTCATGCGGGCGGGTGGGGCAAGCAAGCCGCAACCGGGCTACTGGTTCGGGGGTGTGGCCAGCCAGCGGTCTCTACCGGTTTGGCGACCCAGGCCAAATTACCGCTACCCACCACTGGTTGGGGCGGGGGGGGCGGGCAAGGCCAATCAGTGCTTTGAACTACTGAACCACCAGCAGCCCACCACTGGCTGATACTCTGTATTTAAAACATTTTTGAGATATTTATTACATCCTTCATAATGTGTTTGGAAGGACATATTTTAGAAAAATCTTGCCCAAGTTTTCTGTTAATTAAAATAATTTTTGAATTTGGCTGTTGTTCCTGGAAAGCTTCCGTGTGCTTTCTATACAGTTATTGTAACGTCCTTTAATACAGGTTTGTAAATCTGATTTTTTTTAAAAAAGCAGAATTTTAACATTCTAAAACCGATTCATCCGAGATTGATAGAAAAGAGAATATACCAACTCGTTTTCCATATGAGCTGTACGTACAACCTCCTTTCAAAATACAAATCCAAGTGTGAAATTTTCCATTGCTACAAAATACAAGATACTCAGAAATCAATTTTGCTCATTCTTAACCATTATTTTTCTCCCAGACTTGTCACTTAAGTCTTCCAGATAGTTATGTAATAACAACAATCTGTCTGTTGTGATTGTTGAATAAAATGAATAAAATGCACCATCTAGAGGCAACCTCAGGAATTGCAAGCATTTTAACTGACACACATACACAAACGGGGACCATATTATATAAACACAGACAAACTGACAGATATGGATAAAGACTATTGAAGAAAGGATAATCTAATGCAGGGGCCTCCAAACTTGGCAACTTTAAGATGTGTGGCTGGGGAATTCCAGGAATTCTGGGAGTTGAAGTCCACAGGTTGTCACTCACTTCCACCGGTCACATGACCCCCCCCTAGCCACGCCTACCCAGCTGGTCATTAGGGCATAGAACCAGCTGTTAAAAAACACCAGGAACCACAAAATCCTTTTGACATCTCTCTCTCTCCCCCTTCCCTCCCTCCCTCTCTGTATCTCTGTTTCTGCCCTGGCTGCTTCTCCATCACCCGCCGTTGCCCTCACCTTCTCAGGCCAGGCGAGGAGTGACTGGGAGGGGAGGGTGAGGGCGCGGGCCAGCCAGTGTTGGGATCACCTGACAAGGAGCCACAGCAGAGGGCCCAAAGAGCCACATGCGGCTCCGGAGCCATAGGTTGCTGACCCGTCTTAGCCACTTGTGCAAGGACTGGTTGTAAATCACTTTTTCAAGTGCCATTGCAATTTTGTGTATAAATACTTTTTATTGTTTCGTATCACATATTCAATTTCTGTGCCATTGCAATTTTGAACAGTGACTAAACAAATGCGCATAAACTCTGGATTAGCTGTTTGCTGGATCCAGATTGCTGATTTTTTTTTTCTTTGGATCTAGGAGAGAATTTGAGATTACCCATATGTACAAAAAACTACTGTTTTTTGTTGTTGTGTTTTTTGTGAGTACACAGCAAGAACAAATGTTTTTGTGGTTTCTTGCAAACAGCTGGAAGTTGCAGGATTCTGCCAAGCTCAAAGCTATTAAAGTAATCTTTTATAGACTTCAGGGTTTAACTAAACCTCGTCTTTTTAATCTTTGCTTGGTTGTTTGTTTTTTTAGCTGCTTGTTTAAAGATTGCCTTCAGAACCACAAGTCTTGTTGTCTTTAATAAGTGGGTCCTTCTTTAATTCGTTAAGACAGAAAATTACAAGTTTTATAAGTTTTTTTTCCTGAAATATACAGCAAAAGGGTGATTGCTGTTATTAAAGATTTAAATGGAATATTGGCTCAGATGGGCTGGATGGAAGACTTTGAAGTTAATCCTTTCTCCTGGGAAAATCCCCTTGTTAATACTTGGATACTGATAAAAATGTGAAGATTGGACACTAGAGGGCATCAGATGGCAGTTTGAAAAGAAATGTGTTCAGGGAGTGGCCAGGAAGTTTTGTAATTATTTAATTCTAGTATTGGAATTGAATAGGAACAAACCACATTGAATAAAATTGAAACTGACTTACAAATGGATTTTAAAAAAAATATATAGTCTACAAGAAAAATATGGAAATAATGGATTTACAAATGGAATTGGATGAAGATTTTAAAATGGAAAAAGATATCCAAATAATAAGCCAGAAACAATGTGGATAATCTTTTTTTTTATTGGATTTACAAAAGGAGTTGTCACACAGGAAGGAGGACAACAGAAGCCTGACAAAGATAACAAGAATTTTGGGAAAAGAGACAAAGAGAGTGTGAAAAACAGGTGTTAGAATTTTCTTTGAGCAATTAAAAGATCATTGGAAGGAAGAAGAAAGATTACAAACAGTGGTTTATCAGACCAAGGTTAAGATAATGAGTTGGTCTTTCTAATGATGCTTAATAGTTTTTTCTAATTGGGACAGACTTTGACTATTTGCAGAAAGGAAATTGGGAGGAATCTGTTTAAATAGAAATGGAGATATAAATATAAAAATAAGAATTCAGTCTGGTTGTAATAGATAAGGTTTATAGTACTTATGTCATTATTTCTGATCCTCCTTACTTTTGCTGATTAATATGGAGAAATGAGGTTTCAGAGACAGGCTTATAGAGCATGGGATGAGGAATTTAACAGAATAACAGAGTTTGAAGGGATCTGGTGTGTCTTTTATCCAACCCCAGGCTCAAGCAGGAGATAGCTTGTATTTTAAAGCAGGGGTCTTCAACCTTGGCAACTTTAAGACTTGTGGACTTCAACTCCCAGAGTTCCTCAGCCAGCTTTGTCTTAAGAGACAGTGATAAATTGTTAGTAGTGGTTAATGTTGATTATACTTGTTGGGGATGAAGAGAGATTCTTCTTTTTCTTTCCTAATTCTTTTTTCTGCACTTTTTAATTTAACTCGTTTCCTCTTTAATGTATTTCTATATTATGCACTTCGATTACTTTTATCTGTATAATATGATCTTTAATAAAATTATTGGGGGGGAGGAATGAAGGAAAATATCCCAGACGGTAAAAGGGTTACATGTAGTCCTTAATGTATGACCACAATTGAGCCCCAAATTTCCGTTACTAAGTGAGACAGTTGTCAAACGACTTTTGCCCCATTTTACCACCTGGCCACAGTTGTTAAGTGAGTAACACGGTTGTTAAGTGAATCTGGCTTCCCCATTGACTTTACTTGTCACTTTTTTCAGTGCCATAACTTCAAACAGTCAGTAAATGAATGGTTGTAAATTGAGGATTATCTGTATATTATACGGATAAACTTAATAGGAATACTTAATATCTACAGGCAATATCTACAGACCTCTCACATAAATTGTTTCAATTTCTACCCTCAAAATGGCACTGCACACCAGAACTACTAGACACAAGGACAGTTTTTTTCCCTATGCCATCACTCTGCTAAACAACTAATTCTCACAACACTGTCAAACTATTTACTAAGACTATTACTATTCTTCTTCTCATCCTTCCTATTACCTATCTCCTCCCACATGACTATACAGTAGTGGCCAAAATTGTGGAAACCTTTTGGGAAAAGTGTACTTTCTAAAACTAGTTAATAACACCACTTTTGAGGAAGTAGTACCATAAAATTAAATATCAGTGGAAAGATAATTTAATCAAGAATGTAATGCAATGACTTTTATGATTTGCGATTAGAATAGCAGTTGCAGTATAAGGAAGAAAAGTGAAACACGTAGAAAAAAATGAGATATACAAAAATTATCGCCATGTCAGTTAATACTTAGTTGGGTAACCTTTAGCATGAATTATGGCCCTACAGTGTCTTCCCATGGAGTGAACCAAGTATTTTTTAGTTCTGCAGCTGTTATCATATGAAACCAAGATGAATGATGGCTTCTATTAACTGGGTTTTATTGCTGGGTCGCTTCTGACTAACAAGTTTCTTTAGTCGGCTCCATAGATTTTCAATTGGGTTAAGGTCTGGGCTATTCCCAGCAGTGGTGGGTTTCAAAAATGTTTACTACTGGTTCTGTGGGTGTGGCTTGGTGGGCGTAGCAGGGGAAGGATACTGCAAAATCCCCATTTCCTCCCGCTCAGCTGGGACTCGGGAGGCAGAGAATAGATGGGGGCAGGGCCAGTCAGAATTTTTACTACTGGTTCTCCGAACTACTCAAAATTTCCGTTACCGGTTCTCCAGAAACTGGTCAGAATCTGCTGAAACCACCTCTGATTCCCAGGCCATTCCAGCAGTGGAATAGGATTATCTTGAAACTCTAAAAAAAAAAAAAAGTGATGTTATTAGCCATCAAACCTCAAAAATACACTTTTCCTAAAAGGTTTCCACAATTTTGGCCACTGCTGTAACCTTGTTGCTTGTATCTTTACGATTTATATTGTTTTATTTAGTCTCCTAGTATGATTTGATTGCTTATTTAGTATCCTATGACGATCACTAAATGTTGTATCTTATGATTCTTGATGAATGTATTTATTTTTCTTTTTATGTACACTGAGAGCATATGCACCAAAGACAAATTCCTTGTGTGTCAATCACGCTTGGCCAATAAAGAATTCTATTCTAAAAATTCTATTCCATTAATCCGCAAACAAACTGAAAAAGAAACCATTAAGGAGGGGAAACTCCATCCAACGCCTTGTCCAAAAGTTCCTTTCCTGCCTCTCAGCTCAAAATCTTTTGGGTCATTCCTTTTGGTATTTTTTTTCCTCCGCCCACGCCAAAAATCTCTCGGGAACGGAGACTTTGGGTGGATCCCCCCAAGAAGCCTCTCCAGCAGCGAAACCCGCCAGCAGAGGCCGCTGCTTGGGCGGCCCGAGCCCGGCGCTCTCCCCACCCTCCGGGCCCAGCCCGTCTCCAAAACGCCGGAGCAGCTGCCGGCGGGCAAAGAGCGGGCAGCGCGCCTCGGAGGAGCCGCTCGGGCCGGGCTGGGAGCCGGAGAAGGGAGTCGGGCCGGCCATGCAGCGGGACGAATGGGACGAGCAGAGCGAGCTGCGGGAGCTCAACGCCCGCCTGGAGCTCTACGTGCGGCGGGTGCGGGATTTGGAGCAGGAGAACCGGTGCTTGGCGCACGAGTTGGCCGCCTTGCGCAGCCGGGAAGGACGCGCCGGCCGCTGGCAGGAGACGGAGCAAGAGGTAGCCGAGCTGCGCTGGGTGGTGGCGGACTTGAGCCGGGCTAAAGGCGAAGCCGAGCTGGAACGGGATGCGCTGCGCAAAGAGTTGGAGAGCTTGGAGAGGCTGTGCGCGCAAGTTGGAGAGCTGCGCCTCCGCCGCCTGGAGCCCGAGCTGGCCCGGCAGCAGCAGCAGCTGGCGGGGCTGCGGGCCGACTGCGCCGCTCTGGAGGCGCTGCTGGAGCAACTCCTGGCCGAGCACCGAGGGCTGCAGGAAGCGCGCAAGCAGCGGCCGGCTGCGCTGCTGCCTGCCCCGCGCGTCCTCCGGGCTGAGCGCTTGGAGAGACGGCAGCTGGAATCCGACTTCGCGCTGGTGTTGAGCTGGAGCTGCGCGCAGAGCCTGGAGCGCTACGAGGCCGAGCTGCGGGCCCTGCAGGAGCTGGAGGGCCGCCTCGGTCACCAAGACCTGCGCCAGCTGCGCGCCCAGAACCAGGAGAGCCGCCGCCGCCTCGAGGAGCTGTGGCGCCGCTGCCGGGAGCTTTGCGCGCTGGGCGAGCGGCTGGAAGAGGAGCGGCTGGCGCAGCAGGAGAGCCACGGCGCCCAGCTGGCCGAGTACCAGGTGAGGCCGTCGGCAGGGCGAGAGCGAGGGAGACCGGTGGAGCTCGCCAAGATGCTGGGGGCTGAAGCGCCCAGAACCTCCGGCTGCCTCTTTTTTTAGAAAGCCGGTTGGACGTCGGAAAAGTTTCTTGGCGCGTTCCGGGTTTTTCTTTTTTTAAACAGCCGGTAGGAAAAGGTGACTCGCCTTCCTTTTCGGATTTGGCTTTCCTTGGCCAGACCCTGCGAAGCGATCTGAAGTCGGGATTATATGCAGAATTGCAGAATAAATCAGTTAGAAGGGACCTTGGAGGTCTTCTAGTCCAACCCTCTCTCCAGGAGAGCCTATACAGTAGTGGCCAAAATTGTGGAAACTTTTTGGGAAAAGTGTATTTTTGAGGTTTGATGGCTAATAACACCACTTTTTTTTTGGAGTTTCAAGATAATCCTATTCCACTGCTGGAATGGCCTGGGAATAGCCCAGACCTTAACTCAATTGAAAATCTATGGAGCTGACTAAAGAAACTTGTTAGTCAGCAATAAAACCCAGTTAATAGAAGCCATCATTTAATCTTGGTTTCACATGATAACAGCTGCAGAACTAAAAGACTCGGTTCACTCCATGGGAAGATGTTGTAAGGCCGTAATTCATGCTAAAGGTTACCCAACTAAGTATTAACTGGCATGGAGATCATTTTTGTATATCTCGTTTTTTCTATGGTGATCATTTTTGTATATCGTTTTTTCTATGTGTTTCACTTTTCTTCTTTATACCTTAACGGCTATTCTAATAGCAAATCCTTCATAAAAGTTAAGCCATGGAACGCTTTAAAGGTGGTCACCAACACCTTGAAGCGTACCCGGAAGTCCACTGGAAGCCAATGCAGCTCGCGCAGGAGAGGTGTCACGTGGGAGCGCCCCGTCGCTCCCATAATCCCCCGCGCGCGGCCGCATTTTGCACCAGTTGGAGCCTCCGGGTGCATCCCAAAGGGAGCCCCATGTAGAGAGCGTTACAATAGTCCAGACGAGCAGTGACGAGTGCTGGCAAGGTGATGACTCTGTTTTTTACCGTGTTTCCCTGAAAATAAAACCCTGTCTTATATTTTTTTGATCCCTGAAGTAAGCGCTTGGCTTTATTGCCATGCACTCAAAAGCCTGATTGGTCTTATTATCAGGGCATGTCTTATTTTGGGGGAAACAGGGTAGTAAGCTGTCTAGATTTGCCATAGCTTTCCTCCCCAGGAGCAAGTGTCTTTTAATTTCTTGGCTGTAGTCCCCTTGGCTGTAGTGCGATGATCTTGGAGCCCAGAAAAATAAAATCTGTCAGTTCTCCATTTCTTCCCCATCTATTTGCCAAGGACTAGCTATACCCAATATATATTTGCTGAAATGGGATTAAATGCCAACACAATTTCATGAGTCACAGCCTTTCTGCCAGTTGCCCATCCATTAAAGGCTTCACCCCCCAAGAGACCCAGGCCCATACTGCCCTTGACTACTAGAGAAAAGAGGGTAGGGGCAGGGTTAGCCCTTCAAGCTGATTGTTGGGCTCATCTCCCAATCCTTTCTTGGGATGTTCATTTACCCATTTATAATTCTGATTTCAATGAACACATTGTCAATGGCAACAATATATTCAATACTGTAGAATTCCAAGCAGAACTCTTTCACTCTACTTTTAATAACGTTTTTGTAAACTGCTCTAGGCTAATTCCGGGACTTTTGAAGTTTTCCGGAAGTAATAGGGTCAAGAAACTAAAACTTTTAAATTGGTGTTTTTCAGCCTTGGCAGCTTTAATATGTGGACTTCAATTCCCAGAAGTCCCCAGACCAGCATAATTAAGTTGTTCTACCTATATTACAGCTTCCAGGGCTTCTAAATTAATTCTTACTAGGTTGATGATGGTGGTAACAATGAGGAACTGGTCTACTTATGGGTCAGTGGTGGGATTCAATTTTTTTTTACTACTGGTTCTGTAGGTGTGGCTTGGTGGGTGTAGCATGGCTTGGTGGGCATGGAAGGGAAGGATACTGTAAAATCTTCATCCCCTCCCCACTCCTGGGGGAAGGATACTTCAAAATCCCCATTTCGTCCCGGATCGGCTGGGACTCGGGAGGCAGAGAATAGATGGGGGGGGGCCAATCACAGGTGGTATTTTGTGGCTCCCTGTGTTTTCTTTTCTGTGGGAAACGGGCTCCAAATGGCCCTTTGAGTGTTTTAAGGTTGCAGACCCCTGTTCTAGCAGATGGGGAAGCAAATTCAGCCTGGAAACCTCTTCCATCTCATCCCCCTCGCGAAGCGAAACAAAACGATTGGATGGCTCACATTTTTGGCTTCCGCCGTCCCAAGCCCAGGACAAAATGTTCTCTCTGGAAGAGAGAAATGAAGACGTGTCACCCTTTCCAACCTCCCCTGTTGAGAACAGCACGGCTAGGTTTAAATTTCACTCAGGGCTGCCTGCCATGACTATTCTGCAGTGATTTTTGGCTCCAAGAAAAGGCTATAATATGGTCAGATGGAATGGCAATCGGCTACTGGACTCCGTATGAAGAAACAGGTGTTATGGCCACCTGTACCATTGAGTGAAAAAGCAGCTAGGAAAGTGTAATAAATACATCTCGGGGGCATTCTGGATAAGCAATATCTCTATTACATCAATGAAGGCGTTTATAAATGTGTCCCGGGATAACGTTACAGGATCCAACCAGGGTCGGACACTGGGTCCAGAGCAGCGGTGGGTTTCACATTTTGTTACTACCAGTTCACGTGCGCGCATGGCTTCCGCAAATCCGCCCGGCCTTCCGTGCATACGCTTTGCTTGCGTGCATGCCTTCCGTGCATGCGCCCAGCCTCAAAAACATGCCTAAAATAGGACGGCATAGCGCCAGGGTGGGTGGGCAGGCCCACCCACGATCTCCACTACCGAACCAGCTAAATACCACCTTTCGTCCAGAGGTTTTGTCTTTCGAGCTTTCGGACTCATGCTGGAGCCCATCCTCAGGGAACTTCTCTTTAGCCTATCTTCATGGATCGTCTCTCTACAGACCTGACCCAGTTAGTTCAAGGCCCCACTCACACAGGGGAACACACTCTGGACTTGATTTTCGTCTCTGGTCAGTGGTTGAATGATCTTGGTAGAGGGGACTTAGACATTAAACCCTTGTCATGGACAGATCATTCGCTCCCTCACTTGGACTTTCCAGCCGCTTCCCCCTGCCGCAGGGAGACGGAACTGACCAGATGGTTCCGTCCCAGGCGCCTGATGGATCCCAAAAGATTCCTGACGGAGCTTGGGCCGTTTCCTGGGACTCTAACACACGACTTGACTGAAGAGCTGGTGGCCGCCTGGGATAGTGCAGCTGCCGGAGCTTTGGACCGCGTCGTGCCTTTGCGGCCTCTGACCCGATGCCGATCTCAATTGGCACCTTGGTTCTCGGAGGAGCTGAGAGAGATGAAGCATCGGAAAATTTATTTATTTATTTATTTATTTATTTATTTATTTATTTATTTATTTGATTGATTGATTGATTGATTGATTGATTGATTGATTGATTGATTTATATGCCGCCCTTCTCCGGAGACTCAGGGCGGCTTACAATGCGTTAAGCAATAGCCTTCATACTTTTGTATAATTTATACAAAGTCAGCTTATTGCCCCCACAAACCGGGTCCTCATTTTACCTACCTTAGAAAGGATGGAAGGCTGAGTCAACCTTGAGCCTGGTGAGAATTGAGCTCGCAGTAATTGCAGGCAGCTGGAAGCTAAATACTATCTTTAACAGTAGCATTAGTCTGCTGCGCCACTCAGGCACTGTTAAAAGGCAGTGTGGTGGTAGACCGGTGCCTCCAAAAACAAATGGGTAGACCGGTACAGCTCTGCAAGCAGTTAAAAGCCTGGTAGACCAGTACCTCTGCTAAATCCTAAAGAATTGTCACATGACCATCAAGCCACACCCACAAAATAAGCCATGCCCACAGAACCGGTAGTAAAAAAGTAAAAAGACCCCTTGGTTGGGGTCTATATGTGGTAGCTGGAAGGGTCACCGATCTGGACGTGTGTGAACTTCAGTTGCTATGAGTTGAATACACTCTGGGCTCTGGTTGCCCTTGAGATAACGTAATTGTCATTGTGCCTATGGAAAGTCTCACGAGGTGCATCAAAATTCCACTTATTTCACATTTTGCCACTAAGTGTCTCCGAGAAACTCCCAAATGAGGAGAGGAGGGAAAGAAAGAGCTACCCCTCTTCCTGTTCCCAAACCCTTGGCATTCAGGGTTATCTTGCCTCTGGATTCTCTGTGCTGAAAAGCCATAAATTCATCTGCTGAAATATGCTTCTTTTGTTTTAAGCACCGGCAGTGGCCATTAAGCTAATGGCCACTGCCGGTGCTTTTTGGCAGCACAGTTTGGAAATTAATTACAGAATTACAAAAGGAACATCTTTCTTTTGTTTTGGATTCCAGACCATCCGTCACCTTAGATGGCCTCTACGATTTTATATTGGAAGGAAAAAGGAACTTTCTCTGAAACTTTTTCTTCATCTTTTAGGAAGGATGAAAATGGTGCAAAACCAGGGGTGAAATCCAGCAGGTTCTGATAGGTTCTGGAGAATTGGTAGCGGAAATTTTGAGTAGTTCGACGAACCGGCAAATGCCATCTCTGGCTGGCCCCAGAGTGGGGAGGGAATGGGGATTTTGTAATATCCTTCATCCAGGAGTGGGGAGGGAATGGAGATTTTGCCGTATCCTTTCGGGGGGGGAGGGAATGGAGATTTTGCAGTACCCTTCCCGCGGGAGGGGGGTTTTTGCATTACCCTCCCGGGGGGGGGAGGGAATGGAGATTTTGTAGTATCCTTCCCCTGCCATGCCCACCAAGCCACGCCCACAGAACAGGTAGTAAAAAAAATTGAATTTCACCACTGACCTGAAGGTAGGATAAAAAGTAATGGGTGGAAGATCATTAAAGATTGATCCAACCTAGAATTATGGAGAGATTTCGTGACTAATCAGTGGAACGCCGAAGTTGTGTCTGCTCCATCACTGGAGATTCTTAAGAAGAAATTGGACAATGATTTGTCTGAAATGGTATAGAGTTCCTGCTTGAGCAGGGGGTTAGACTAGAAGACCTCCAAGGCCCCTTCCAACCTTATTATTTTATGTTCTAAGAATCTTTGAACCTAATGATTTCTCGAGCTGAAAGAACTTCAAAAGTATTACGTGAATAATACTTTTACTCACATTTTATTGATTTATTTATTTATTTTATTGAGTTTGTATACCGCCCTACTCCCGAAGGACTCAGGGCGGTGAACAGCCATAGAATAAAACATATAAATACAAAATTTAAAATAGAATAAAACAAATTAAATAATTTGGCTGAACAAATTTAAAACCCCAATAATTTAAAACCAAATTTAAAATTTCCATTTAAAAAGGGGAAAAACTTAGGTGAGACCAGCTTGATGAAATAAGAAAGTCTTGAGCGCGCGACGGAAGGTACGCAGATCCGGGATCCTCCGTGTCTCCGGGGGGAGCTCGTTCCAGATAGTAGAGTACAGATCATCCTTTTTTTAAAAAAAATATAATATTTAATAAATTTTCAAACATTAAAATACACAGTACAAGAAATAGAAAAGGAAAAAAAAAGAAAACCATAACACACAACAAAAACAAACAAGCAAAAACAAACACATCAAAACTTAAACACTAGTAACAGCTTTTTCTACATCGGTATCTAATACAGATCATCCTTATTTAGTGACCACAGTTGGTACTGGGAACTCAGTCATTAAGAGAAGCAGCCGCTAAGTGAAACCACAACTCTGCTTACTATCTGACCTCGGCTTTCCAAGTCGGTAAAGGTTGTAAATACAAAAAATGGTTGTAAAGTCACCTTTTCATCAGAACTAGGAATGGCCACTAAATGAGGCAGTTGCTAAACAAGGACTGCCCGTAGGTGCATGATGAGCAAAAGGAATGGCCAATTCTGAGAACTCACTGCAATGACAAGAGGCAGAATGACAGTAGATTTATTTGGATTGTTGGAATGCTTTTGATATAAGTGACATGGCCGATTGCAGATGATTGCCATCCTGTCTTTTCTTTCTCTTACTGTTGGCAGAACATACTCAGATATTTTAAGACCCCCATTATGTCACCCCTTAATATTTGCCTGGCTAAGCTGTCTGGGCCTTTTCAACAGTAGTAACGGAGCCAAAACACTTTCCCTGCTCTTGTCAGCAAGAGATTGGCAAGATATTAGCCAGCCCTCTTGCCGGTTCCTACCCTGCCCTCTGTTGTGACTTTCCAAGTCACTACTCAACAGTGTTGATTTACGAGTGTCCCAGTTGTTCTCGGCAACACGATGGCTTTCCTTTCCTGGCTTTACTGCTCAGCTCACCAGCCATCCACCAGGTAGAATCCTGCAGCCGAGGGAGCCAGCCTGACTCCAGGGTTTTAGTAGTGCTTCCGTAACTTAATCATCTCCTCCTCCTCCTCCTCTCCCCACCCCAACCTCCTGTTTGAGCATTCTTCCAAGCTGAAATAATGGGGTAGGGGAAGAAACCCCCCGCATCAGCAGCAGCAGATAAATTGATTGATTGATTGATTGATTGATTGATTGATTGATTGATTCGATTGATATGCCGCCCTTCTCCGGAGACTCAGGGCGGTTTACAATGCGTTAAGCAATAGCCTTCATACTTTTTGTATATACCTCCTTAGTAGGGCTTTTGCCTCCCCCCCTAAGTGGTGTTCTTTTTTATGCAAAGTCAGCTTATTGCTCCCACAAACCAGGTCCTCATTTTAGGTACCTCGAATGGATGGAAGGCTGAGTCAACCTTGAGCCTGGTGAGATTTGAATTTGCAGTAATTGCAGGCAGCTGGTGTTACTTAACAGTACTTTAATCTGCTGCACCACCAAGGCTCTATTCCATCATGCCAGGGAGGAGGGAGGCAGGATAAATGAAACTGACGGGCTCGAGGGTGGGTAACTATGCCCCCTTTCCGTGCTTTGGACTTCAGCTTCCAGAATTCCCAGAGTCTGCATGGGCGCATAGTTGCCCAACCCCTGGACTAGCTGAACAAACATGGGGACGGGGAGGGGGGGGGGCAAAATGAAATGATTTAAATTGACAAGGATTGTGAAGTTGACAAAATTTCCCGTTATCTGCAGCACTGAAGAGGCAACAATTAGAGAAAGAGGGAGGGAGGGAGGGAGGGAGGGAGGGAGGGAGGGAGGAAGGAAGGAAGGAAGGAAGGAAGGAAGGAAGGAAGGAAGGAAGGAAGGAAGGAAGGAAGGAAATTGAGAAATGTTTGAGAGGGAGAGAGGAAGGAAGAAAGGAAAGAATACGGAAGGAAGGAAAGCAAAGAAGGGAAGGAAGAATAGGGAAGGAAGGAAAGGAAAGGAGAGAAAGACAGGTAGGTAGGAAGGAAGGAAGGAAATTGAGAAATGTTTGAGAGAGGAAGGAAGAAAGGAAGAAAAGAATATGGAAGGAAGGGAAGGGAAGGGAAGGAAGGAAAGAAAATAGGGAAGGAAGGAAAGGAAAGGAGAGAAAGAAGGTAGGAAGGAAGGAAACTGAGAAATGTTTGAGAGGGAGAGAGGAAGGAAGGAAGAAAAGAATACGGAAGGAAAGGAAAGGAAGGAAAGAAAGCAAGGAAGGAAAGAAAGAATAGGGAAGGAAGGAAAGGAAGAAAGGAAGGAAATAAATTGATGCTCACTTTTTTGGAATGGGTGGAGATGTCAAGAACCTGGTGGGATCAACTGATGTGATCAAACAACCAACTACCTGGCTATCACAGTGGAAAAAAAGATTGAAATCTGCAAATCTCTAAAGAATCACTTCCAGGTTACCTATGCACAGGTGCCAAGCAGTTTAAAGCTTTAGTGTGGAAAGGCCCCCTCACTGCGAATTAAGAATTGATAAAGAGGGGCTTTTAGTCATATATTTACAGGTGTCCTCAATTTACAACCTTATGTTTAGTGACAAAGTTACAATGGCAATGAAACCAAGAGACTTATGACCATTTTTCACACACTTATGACCGTTGCAACCTCCCCATGGTCATATGATCAATTTATGACGGTTGCTTGCAATGTCCCGGGGGTCACGAGATCCCCTGTTGCAACCTTCTGCCAAGCAAAATCAACGAGGAATCCATGGTTCACTTAACAACCCTGTGACCAATTTAACAACTGTAGTGATTCACTTAACAACTGTGGCAAGAAAGTTCGCAAAATGGGGAAAAGCTCACTCATCCCAAGCAACCGTCTTGCTTGGCAAGAGGAAATTTTGGATTCAACTGTGGTCGTAAGTCGAAGACGACCTGAGCACCCAACGCTCATGATTATTTCTGTGTTTTCAGATGATAATTGAAGCTCTTGAAGAAGAGAAGAACTACTTAACCATGTCCATTGCAGAGTACCTGAAGGATTACCATGAACTTCTGCAAGTGAAAGCTGGACTCAGCCTTGAAATTGAAACTTACAGGTAAGAATATTTTTACCCTGCAGGAAGACACGAGGGAAACCTTGGCTTCGTTTTACACTTGGCCAGTGGTGAAATGTAAAATTTGTTACTACCGGTTCTGTGGGCGTGGCTTGGTGGTGGTGGTATTGGGTAATGTGACTGAGTGGGCAGGGCCAACTTTTTTTTTAACTTTTAAAACTATTTTTTCTACAACCTCTTTGGCTTTTAAAAGCCTCTGACGAACAGGCAACTCAGCTGGGATCGTCAGAGGCTTTTAAAAGCATTTTTTTTCTCCAGCCTCTTCGGTTGGAGGTTGTAGAAAAAATGCTTTTAAAAGCCTCTGACGATCCCAGCTGAGCCGTGTGATCATCAGAAGCTTTTTTTTCACTTTTAAAAGCATTTTTAATGGCCGAAGAGGTTGTAGAAAAAATGCTTTTAAATTTTTTTTAAAAAGCCTCTGATGATCGCGCGGCTCAGTCGGGCATGGGGGGGGAGGGGGGCAGGGATTTTTGCTACTGGTTCTCCGAATCACCCACCGCCATCGCTACCGGATCAGGCGATCTAGTCCGAACTGGGAGTATTTCACCCCTGCACTCGGCCAAATTCCAGAACAAGTTTTTGAGGTTCTTGCTGGAATGAAATTTCTGCAGAATTGGAAGGGAAGATAAAAGGCCTCGATGAGTAACAGAATGTTTTATCATTAAGAATAAACTTGAAAGCAGTTTAGAAAAGGGCTACTGAGATGCAGGTGACAATATGGAAACTGACTAAAATTTAATCCCAAGTAATATTGAGACTCTTGGTAGTTTTATTGGGGAAATTCAGTCAGGTGTGAAGTTTGGAAGTATTTGGGCACTTGTCTTTAGATATATTAGAATAGAATAACAGAGTTGGAAGGGACCTTGGAGGTCTTCTAGTCCAACCCCCTGATTAGGTAGGAAACCCTACACCACTTCAGACAAATAGTTATCCAAAATCTTCTTAAAAACTTCCAGCGTTGGAGCATTTACAACTTCTGGAGGCAAGTTGTTCCACAGATTAATTGTTCTAACTGTCAGTTGTACTACATATTGATTGTTGCTCAAAGCGCGGAAAACAGAATTATACTCTTTCTATACATTTATTAGGGGTTTAGTTAATAAAGAAGAGCCTGTAGTACAGTGGACTAAAGCACTGTTATTAACATCTGCTGCTTGCAATTATTGCAAGTTCAAATCTCACCAGGCTCAAGGTTGACTCAGCCTTCCATCCTTTCAAAGGTAGGTGAAATGAGGACCCAGATTGTGGGGGCAATAAGCTGACTTTGTATAAAAAAGAACACCGCTTAGGGGGCCCCCGAAAGCCCTACTAAGCAGGTATATACAAAAGTATGAAGGCTATTGCTTAACGCATTGTAAGCCGCCCTGAGTCTCCGGAGAAGGGCGGCATATAAATTAAAGCAAAAAAATAAAAATAAAATTAAACTCACTTAACAATGATCTCAGCAACAGAAATTTGGGTCATATGTCATATGGGTTTATCTGTATTGTGGTCATATGTGGTTGTATGTCAACAGCTACCTGTGTTGAAGAGATTAGTGTAAGATTAGGATTAGTATAGATTTAGGATTAGGAAGTTTTCTTGATTGGCAATCAACTGATCCTGTTATCCTGGAATTCTTACAAACTTCAATACGTTAAATTATGATATTTCTAGTTAAAGTTGACTTGCCAATCAAATTTGACCCAATGGAAGGTTTTGTTGTTTTTTAGCTTTGCTAATAAAAGAAATTTCCAAAACCTAGTTGATCATCCTGTTAAAATGCCAGATTTACTTCTGTTCCATGCTACATTTTAACATAATCTCTGCAAACATTTAACTATTTAAAAAAAGGCATTTCAAAAGAATCTCTGTTCCTTTTGAAGCAACCAATAAAATTTTTCCATGTTTCCTTTTGCGTAAGAGTCCTAATGCTACTTCTTGTTTGAATAATAACTTTGAATTGAATGAATTCTTCTACTGGGTGTGACTTCATAATACAATTAATCCCTCTGAAAGAATCGAATGCAGCTCGGGAATACTTTCACTTTTTCAAAAGAATAAATTTCAGCAAGATTGATTACATCACAGGAAACAAAACCAGTAAAGTGCAGAATTTAGTTCTTATTCCGTTTTTGTCTGCCAGTACTGATAAAACTCATGTTCATAGCGCATAAGAGACCGTTGAAGTAAGCAGCCAAATCTCATTGGTGAAGAGAAAAAAAAACAAGAGGCTAGAAGTCCACTTCAAGAATATAGAACAGAATAAAATAAAATAGAAGAATAGCATAGCATAGCATAGCATAGCATAGCATAGCATAGCATAGCATAGCATAGCATAGCATAGCATAGCATAGAAGAATAGAGTATCGTAGCGTAGCATAGCATAGAAGAATAGCATAGAATAGAATAGAATAGCATAGAATAGCATAGAAGAATAGAGTAGCATAACGTAGCGTAGCGTAGCATAGCATAGCATAGAAATCTCGGCCAAGTGTGATTGGACACCCAAGGAATTTGTCTTTGGTGCATACGCTCTCAGTGTACATAAAAGAAAAGATACCTTCGTCAAGAATCATAAGGTACAACACTTAATGATAGTCATAGGGAACAAATAGGCAATCAAATCATATTAGAAAACAGTCAATATAAATCTTAAGGATACCAGCAACAAGGTTACAGTCATACAGTCGTAAGTGGGAGGAGATGGGTGATAGGAACGATGAGAAGATTAATAGTAATGCAGACTTAATAACTAATTTGACAGTGTTGAGGGAATTATTTGTTTAGCAGAGTTTAGCCACAAAATAAGACTACGATTAATCCTCGATGACCACAATTTTTGAGCCCAAATTATTTGTTGCGAAGTGAGACAGTAGTTAAATGAGTTTTGTCCCATTTTATGACCTTTCTTGCCACAGTTGTTAAGTGAATCAGTGCAGTTTATGAAGTTAGTAACATGGTTGTTAAGTGCCTGTGGAGATTCTCAGTCATCCAGATCATGGTTGTCCCAAAGGTGTTTTTTCAAGAGGCAACTGGACTTTCTTTGAAGATGTTTTGCTTCTCATCCAAGAAGCTTTTTCAGCGCTGACTGGATGGTGGGGATAGATATCTATCTTCAGTCAGAGCTGAAGAAGCTTCTTGGATGAGAAGCGAAACGTCTTCAAAGAAAAACAAGGAAGTCCAGTTGCCTCTTGAAAAAATCACTTTTGGGACAGTTGTTAAGTGAATCTGCCTTCCTCGTTGACTTGTCAGAAGGTCGCAAAAGGTGATCGTATGAGCCCAGGACATTGCAACATCATAAATACATGCCAGTGGCCAAGCCTCTGAATTTTAATCATGTGACCACAAGGACGCGGCAACAGTCGTAAGTGTGAAAAACAGTCATAAGTCATTTTTTCAGTGCCATTGTAACTTCGAATGGTCACTAAACAAAAAGTTGTAAATTGAGGACTACTTATGCTGAAATCAGGTGCTTCAACTTTTCTTCAAGGTATTCATCCTGCTGATGATTTGTGTTATTGTGGAAAAAGATCCTTTTCAACCAAGGATCCCTTTACATCTATTACACTTCATTTGTTCTCAGTGTGGCTTTTTACTGATGGGAAAACTTGCATGCAAACAGGCTTTTAAAAATTAATTTGGCACTTAGAACATAGAATAATAGAGTTGGAAGGGACCTTGGAGGTCTTCTAGTCCAATCCCTTGCTTTGAGAAGGAGCCTCTCTGGACAAATGGCTGTCCAGTCTCTTCTTGAAAACCTCTAGTGATGGAGCACCTACAACTTACAAAGGCAACCCATTCCACTGATTAATTGTTCTCACTATCAAGAAATTTCTCCTTAGTTCTAGGTTGAATCTCTCTTTGATAGGTTTTCTATCTGTTAACTTCTTGTCTTGCCCTCAGGTTCTTTGGAGAATAAATTGTCCCCCTCTTCTTTGTGGCAGCCCCTCAAATATTGGAAGACTGCTATCATGTCAATCCTAGTTCTTCTCTTCGTTAGGCTGTTGTTGTTAGTTGTGAAGTCGTGTCCAACCCATCGCGACCCCATGGACAACGTTCCTCCAGGCCTTTCTGTCCTCTACCATCCTCTGGAGTCCATTTAAGCTCACACCGACTGCTTCAGTGACTCCATCCAGCCACCTCGTTCTCTGTCGTCCCCTTCTTCTTTTGCCCTCAATCTTTCCCAGCATTAGGCTCTTCTCCAGTGAGTCCTTCCTTCTCATTAGGTGGCCAAAGTATTTGAGTTTCCTCTTTAGGATCTGGCCTTCTAAAGAACAGTCACGGTTGATCTCCTCTAGGACTGACCAGTTTGATCGCCTTGCAGTCCAAGGGACTCGCAGGAGTCTTTTCCAGCACCAGAGTTCAAAGGCCTCCATTCTTTGGTGCCCAGCCTTCCTTATGGTCCAACTTTCACAGCCATCCATTGCAACTGGGAAAACCATCGCCTTGACTATAGGCACTTTTGTTGGCATGCCTAATTCCCGCAACTGTTTATTGTATGGTTTCGCCTCCAGACTCCTTACCATCTTTTTGCTCTTCTTTTTGCTCTTTCTTACACATCCACAAAATTAGACTACGATTCAATATGTTGCTTCAAGCCATCCCAAACCATTGCTATGATTTCCTTTGTGCTTTTCTCCAAGATTATAAACCTCAAAACCATTCCATTTCATAAATTGGACCAAAGACAGATCAGAAGCAATTCAGCATCTGCCGTTCCTTCTTTCCTTTCTGTGTTTGTCAAGTGGTTTTTATTTGCAATATTTAATGTTAATGCTCGGCTTGTTTCTAGCAGTTCAAGCTGTGAGTTCTCACATTTAAAGATGTGCTTGGCTCCCTTTTCCCATATACAGTGAGTGCTTCAGCTTATTTTTAGTGACTTCTGGGTTGCTCTGGAAACTGCCGCAAACTGTTGTTTTATCAGTAGCCAACAATCATTAGTTAAGCTTCCTGCATTCCTGCTTTCTGTCATCATAGTTAAAGCTTTCAAGGACTTCAGT